TCGCGGCCCGTTTTTAATAAAGAAGGCAATAGAGACCCCCGTCGCTTTTTCTTACAACAAAAAGCAGAAGTAAATCCTTTTTCTTGAATACTACCACCCCATGCCTACCCTCGCCACTTTCCGTTGAGTTAGCTGTCTCCTTTTTTTCGAGACAGCCAGCTACCTTCACACGTCTCACACACCCCCGATACTTCAAATCCAGAAAACAGGGGGGGGGGCCGGGGGAGGCTTTTTTTTTTCAAACCCCCTGAAAATCGAGAAAAGGAACCCCCCCTGAAAATTCTTTTTTTTTTTTTTTTTTCACTTTCACGGCCGGAGGTGCGCACACGAACCGGGCAACCCAACCTCCGAAACCCCCCCCCCATCTGGCTGCCACGGCGTTTCCGCGGTCGTGACAGCGGGGTCGCGATCGGGACCGCGGGCCACGGTCGCGACCGCCATGACCGTGGCCGCAGGGGATTCGTAGATGATAAGGAGTGGCCAGCACAAAGTAAGATAACGTCATTTGGATTCCCATGGTTATCCAACTGAACAATTTATGCAAGGCCTTTCGCACCCCTCAGTGACAATCAAGGTAACCAACCCCTCCCTTTAGACTTGCAGCCCTTACACAATCTCAAGTACGAAGAAAACAAGAGAATTTGCTCGTCCGACATGTGTACCCTAAATTCCCTAATAGCCAATAGCACACAAAAAATCTAGAGTAGATGATAAATATAAAGAAATATTGGCTCTGCGCACAACCAGATGACCACAACCACTGTCCAAGACGGGAGCTGCTCGTGCCTGTTCTTTCAAGCTAGCCGTTTCTGCCAGCACCCGTGTGTGTGTGTGTGTGTGTGTGTGTGTGTGTGTGTGTGTGTGTGTGTGTGTGTGTGTGTAAGCATACATAAAAATCATCTTCAGCATAGATACTATGCTCCAAGTCATCGGGATGACTGAAAGGCACTTATGTTACTCCCCATGGACGATTCATTCCACAATCAGTGATATTAATACATTAGGCTCATAAAAAATGGTGGGCAATCATATTCACAACGGTCTGAGATCGGATAGGAAAATGGGCATGGATCGGAGGGGGAAGAGGGAAGTATTTCGGAGAGGCGTTAATGTAGTGGTAAGAGAAGTAGAAAGGTGGAGAGAGAGAGAGAGAGAGAGAGAGAGAGAGAGAGAGAGAGAGAGAGAGAGAGAGAGAGAGAGAGAGAGAGAGATGATCGCAGTAGGCTAGAAAAGAGATCCAAGCAAAAGTCGTCTGACTGCACCCAACTGTTTTCGTAATGGCTTTTCAAAGCTCATGTAGCGTTTCAAGTACCAAAGAATACTCTGTAAAATGACGAATGCGCAGAATGCATATACTGCCACTCCTCATAGTTCCCTCGAAGTGCGCGATCTCAACCATGAATATCATACCAAAGGGAACTCAAAGAACCTTGGGTAAAAAGACCTCAGAAACATCACCACCATTCCAATGAACATCAATCCAGGGGCATCAGCTGATTCCCGCTGCGTGAGGTTCCAAAAAAAGATATCAAATGCGCACTTCTTGCTTCACAAGGACCACGACTATTACACTCGGTGAAAACAATATACCAAATCACGCTCTGCAAGTCACTGCTTATGACATTGTGCAAAAGTAGATGGCATGTACTACAGCGGCACGGCCTACTAGCAGCCCTAGTACAAAGCTCACTCCCGAAGGTGTGTTGCAGATCAGCACGTTCGTTCAATCAACCGGGTAGCGAGTGCCCTCAGTGCTCACTAATCTATTCGGCTCATCTCATTCAGCCCATGTCTGAAAAAAAACTGTGCAAAACAATTATTATCATGAAAAATCACAAAACAAAAACGAAAAGAAAGCAAAAACGGAGATTCTGAAATGAGGCGTATGACAACACCCTCACAGACAGAGATAGACACCAGATGTCATCCTAACCACAGTTAGGCTTGTGTGGTTCACAAGCCCTCACAGTCAGAGATATACACAAGATGTAATCCTGACCACCTACCCACAGTTATGCTTGAGTGTGCACCCAAGTCAACTTAGTCAAGCCATGCTATCTGAGTCTCTGCCAAACAGTAACCAAACAACCAACCCTTACAACAGCCACGAGAACTCCGCTGCTGGACACAATCCATATTCTCTTACTTTCAAAATACACTATCCTAATTTGTAAAATACATGTCCACTGTCAGGAGAAAAAGCAACCCCAGCAGTAAAATGACAAAGCGAATGCCATCCATGCCCTTGAAGCTCTCTCTCTCTCTCTCTCTCTCTCTCTCTCTCTCTCTCTCTCTCTCTCTCTCTCTCTCTCTCTCTCTCTCTCTTTATGTCAACAGTCAGTATCACCTTCTGCTGAGAATGAGGAACTCCTTTGCCAAAAGGACCCAGCTTATTATTATTGGCCTAATTCTCCTCAGCCGCGCCCTTGGTTTGTGTGTCAACATTGTCTGCGATTAAAATCAGTTCAGCCGGTCCAGCGCTCGGAGATGTGACAACATTATCTCTGACTAAAACTGGTCCGGAGGCTCCTTCATTCCCACCTGCATTTCTGCCATTATTACCATCAGCACCTCCGCCCTTTTCTGCCTGCTGCACAGCTCAGCCTCACAAATCTCCCTCCCTCTTCCCGTAGCTTCCTCTGGTTGTCATCCTTGCCCGCTGTTGGCCCAGATTTCCACCAACCAAAAACTGTCATCCGTCAGAGAACCAGAACGAGCGGCTCCTCTCTCATCCGAACCTGGCGCACATGTTGCTTGGCTGCCCACCCTCTGTAGAGGCTAGCACTCTCAGGATTAGACAAACACCTAACAGCATCATCCATTAGCATCACATAACTAGTGCCAGGCCCAGGGGAGTCTTAGAATGGACGGAGAGGTGGTTTCACTGGCACCCCCTGCATCGGTGGTCACTTGCAGGACCCAACACCTATGCTCATTCAACATAGACCGTCACGCCACCACGAACTGAACAGCTGGCTCCGATGGGTGATATTCCATGTACGTATCTGCAGTTGCACACAGAGAGATGTGTGTAGATGTGTGTGTGTGTGTGTGTGTGTGTGTGTGTGTGTGTGTGTGTGTGTGTGTGAGAGAGAGAGAGAGAGAGAGAGAGAGAGGAGCAGGTGTGAATGCATCTGATTGCAGCGAGTCAGCGAAACAGAGAGGTGCACAGACTCGACCATGGTGGCAATAAAGAGGTGCCACTGACGTTGAAATTTCTATTATGGGAAGGACAAGTTGCCGGACTAGAGCACCTGACGATGAAAAAAGAGTGGGTCAGTTTTCACTTAATACCAAGAGGGGTCAGTTTCCACATGACGGGAAGGACACGTTGCCCGACTAGAGCACCTGACAACGAACAAAGAGCGGGTCAGTTTTCACTTATGAAGAATAGTGAATCTTCAGGCACGAGCCACTGACATTGTCCTTCCCTGTAGCGAATATCTGCACTCTCTCCAAAACGGCTTCCGAGCGAGGAAAGGTAGACATCCGCCCATCTTACCAAGACCTCGCCAAAGGTGGACAAGTCATGTACCCGGGAGAAAGATAGTCTATGATCCGCGAGATCAGTTCTTCTGGCAGTTGTTCCCATATCGACCCCTTGAATAGGCAGGCAAAATGAGTGCGCCGGCGGCGCTTCACATCGGCCATTGTCGAGAGACGGAGCCCGAACTCGCCGGCGAACCATTGGAGAGAATCATAGGAAGGATTCAGCTTTGCCAGGGAACCCGCGACAGGAATCAGCCGCTCCACCTCAGACCGCTGTGAGTAGGAAAGGTATCCGGAATTGTCAGAAGCTTTGTGGAGACTGGTAAGAGATTCTAACTCTTCAGGTAAGAGAGGTCAACAAGGGAGGAATAAATGCCACCCTTCTGGTGAGGACACTGCATAATTTTTACCCACACCGTCGTCCCTGACCGCAAAGGTCCTCCGCATGTACTCTGGAGAACCTGGGGTAAACCATCCTCTCAGCATTGTCGGGATATCTCCATGCGGCTTGTATTGCCTTTCAATCAGCTCCTCCGCAACGACCCTGACGTGCTCCTCCCACAATGAATTGTTGTGCACTTTCGCAATAAGTGCACCTGTCTCTCGCTCCCTGATGTGCGCATACCATATATTCGGATTCTCGCACATTCCAATGAACTTCAGCATCCGCAAAGGGTATTTTCGACCGTCCGCATCCACAAGGTCAAAATCCACAAGAGAACCGCTAAGAAATCCCGGGATGGCTCCCAAAGGCTTTTTATGTTCTGACCTGATCTTCTTCTCGCAGGTGGTGTAGATTTTCCTGCTGATAGTCTGATCACTCTCCCGATTGACGTTCCTGCCCCAGCGGCCAAGATAGGGCCCAAACTGAGGGGAGAGGTTTGAGACCCAATGGCGAAGAAATAACATGGAAATCTCCTCAACTTCTGTACCTGGCGTGTCCTCCTCTTCATCACTCCAATCACTAGAATCACTATCGTCATTATTATCATCATCATTATTTTTGCCGTGCAAGAGCTCGGCAGCAAAATTCGTCGCCATATCGGCGAGGAGGACTGCGTCCTTTTCCGCAAGCCCCTTAGTCCGGCAATAGTCTTTGAAGTTGGCGCCGAAATCATCAACGCTTTCCTTCATGAGACTGATTCTTCCTGGCTCTGAAATGAATTCGTGGAACAGATCCGCGTCCTCCTCGTGACACAATAAGATGAGCTCGGCTAGCTGGACGGGTGACACGTGGAGTCTCTCGAAAACACTTCCTTCGAAGCCGAAGCGGAAGTCGAGGATCATCCTCTCGTCATCCGCATCGCCACCACCACCGCCAGCTTTCTCCATCCTTCGTCTCAACGCTCTCGCTTCTCTTTCCCTTGCCTGTTGCAGAGCTATTCGTTGATTATGCTTGGACGAGGCAATCAATATTGCACTGCCAATACCTGATTTTCTTCCGTTAAAAAAAATAAAAAAAATCTTCTTTACGGGACTGTCACAGTGTGCGTTTCGATTTTCTGACGAGAGACTCAGACAGATGGATGGCCATGTGAAACTGATGAGTCACGGCATCAACTGATTAAAGATGCGCACTTCTTTGTTCCTAACTAGTATCCAATTGAAAGAAAAATAAAGACTGCAACATCAGTTAATCACGATGCTCCCCACGAATAGATTCGGAGCACCGTCTTAAAAAAAAAAACAAAAAAAAAAACAAAGTCAATCATGATGAAGGAGAAGCGGAAGAGGGAGCTAGAGGAAATCAATAGCGACTGATGCTTAACATATTTTGGTGGCGTGACGAAGTAGAGTTTTTTTCCCCCCCACCGATTTGGAACAGATTTTGGATGTATCACGGACTAAGGACGCCGTACCTTCATTTTACATGCTCTCAATTGAGTCTCTTGGATGTATCTAGTCGCATATACAACCAGATTAGCATAAGTTCATTGGAGGATGATTAAACCACAACATGGTCAGTTCACTCATTGGAGGCTGATCAAATTACACCACCCTTTCAAGCTCAATTTCGTCACGCCAGCAAAATATTCCAATTTAACTAAAAGGCACTTGTATGTGCGCATTTCACTCTTAGACAAGAAACATTTACGGTTGTATTTTATCAAATGTGAGTGGGTTCCAGGAACAGGGACTTCCCTCGACGAACCTGACCGCAATGACAGCTAGGTTCTATACAAGAACGTCATCATTGACTTAACACTTCGCAACACAGCCATCGGATTAACAAAATGCGAGAGGGTAAAGCATAAAAAAGAAAAGAGAAAAAAAATTGATGATCGTGCTTGCTGCTGGGAGGAGCGGGCGGTGCTGACTCGCGGACTTGGGAGGGGGCACACAGTGCCACACACAGTACGTAGCACAAGGACTTCCCTCGATGAACCTGACCGCAACTACGGCTAGGTTCCACCCACGCATTCCCAACACCATACTTATGCCTCCTCATGCTTCTCTCCCGTGTAATCGAAAACCGCAACGCTTCAAGGAAAAACGCAAGAAAATGGAAAAAGAACGCAAATACCTCACCATCAGTCTAGCTTGATCATGATGTCAACAAAAAATGCAAAGGAGAGGAAAACGAACCCAAATTGCTCACCATCCCTCTAGCTTGATGACATCAGCGAACCACGTGTCTGAATAGTGATGACGTCAGCAAACCACGTGTCTGTGGACTCTGTACTGATGACGTCAGCAAACCAAGTGTCATCGTGAGGGATTGTTCAAGTGACTGGACCGTGTTGGTCAACTCCGCGTCACCCTTATGTCCCGGCAGGTGCGAGGTATGAGCAACGGATCGTGTGGCAAAGGCTCTTCAAGCCCGCCACGTGGAAGGTTGCCATGTGCCATTAGTCACCCATCCCCTCGCTTTGAGGCCTGTGGGGGTCTTGCCGCAGACGGAACTAGTTTGATCAAACATGCGGTAGGAGAGAGTAGACAAGATAAGGTAGATAGATGAGAGAGAGAGAAGTAATATAAGATCAGATACATGGTTTTACATACTCAGAAATACAAACATAAGCATAATGCAGATTCCCAGAATCGACCAGATAACACAGAGTAATTACAATGCAGCGGAAGACTTGACATACATGGACTGACTCAGACCCGACTCAGACTGCAACGAATACACTCCAATCATACATCAAGGGTGAGAAAGCCCTGGCCTCTAGATCAAGACGAAAGGAGGCCAGGGTCTGAAACAACCATAGACGAATGGAGGGAGGTGAGAGACGAAGGAGGAGAAGAGGGAGATGACGTCAACACATGTATCCAAAAATAGTATCTTGAATGTCCGAAAATGGCCAGAATGTCGTGAATATAGAATCTCACGAAGTCCCAGCTATGGATCCCCGAAGGTCCAGATACGTCCCAGTAACAGATGAAGTCAAGTCCCAGAATAATCCTCGATCTGTGCCTCAATGTCGCTGTCCGAAACTCTGATCAGAATTCGTTACCATCTCACCTAATCATAGTAGTCGAAATAGACTTAGACTTAGAGGAGTAGAAGGAGAGAGAGAGAGAGAGAGAGAGAGAGAGAGAGAGAGAGAGAGAGAGAGAGAGAGAGAGAGAGAGAGAG